GACAGGTGAAATTATGCATGTATTAGGCTAGTGCAGATACTAGACCTTCTTTAAGTATCATCAAAATTACAATATAATATTACAATAAACGAATATATCATATAGCCTGTTGAGGAAGAGAAGGAAACTACACAGCTCGAAATTCAGTATGAACACACAGCCTAATGGTACACAATGTATAAAATATCATGTTTTAATTGTTTTTTTTATTGTTTTTTTTTAGTGTATGTGTACGTTAAAAGTACCATTCCGGCAGCTTTGCCAAATTAATCTTTGACTCCGTGGGTGTTCGTCACTGTACTTTTGAGAATGACCCATGTTGCTACTGTAGTACAAACCTTACGCACCCAGATGTCGCTGTTGGATGTTGCTTTCCAAATGTGCTGCCCTGTACGCCGCATGCTCGGAGCGGGTGTTTTTTTTTTCTTTTCTGTTTTCCCAAGTGTGACCCTGGCTTCTATTTCCTCCGCTCGAGCTATAAAGTGCCCGTGCATTTCCCACGCACCCTCTTTCCCCGGCCACCACACCGTGAGTGTATCTCACTGTTCTTAAGTACCTTAAAAAAAAAAAGAAAAAAAAAGAGACAAAATAACAAAAATCTCAAAAAATAACCACTTTAAACCAAACAACGTTTTTTAAAAGGGCAAACTTTGTTTTTTTTAAAAGACAAGGTCTCGATCTACCCAGACGTTTCTGAAGCCAGTTCCTCGCGACCGGACTCCATATAGCTGCCGACATCATTTATTTGGAGAGTAGCGTAAAAGTTTAATAGAGGATTAAGACTCATTTGTTCCTCTGGTTCTAGGACACTCTTTACGCACTGTCATTTCAGCACTAGACAAACACACGAGCTCAAAGGCTTGAACGACCCCGAGACATGAACGCTGCGACGGGGGGGAGTTATCCGATGGCTTCTCTCTATGTGGGCGACCTGCACCCTGATATCACGGAGGCTATGCTGTATGAGAAATTCAGTCCGGCCGGCCCGGTGCTGTCCATCCGCGTGTGTCGGGATATGATCACGCGGCGCTCGCTGGGCTATGCCTACGTCAACTTCCAGCAGCCTGCGGACGGTAAGACATGACAGACAGCGCCCTGTCGTCCTGCGCGTAACTTTAAACGTGATGCATTTAGCTGTCAGAGTAACGGGAATAATGTGTCATGCTTTGTGCGTTAATTTAGGGACACTGGAGGTGATGTGTAGTGCGCCCACCGTCGCGCGCTCTCTCTCCTGTGTGCTGTCACATGTATTTCTGAGTTAACCACATCAAGCTGGTCTTCACTCCTCTCTACTACAACAATCTTTAACATCTTCAACAAACCGCTTTATTCTCCTAATATGGCCTATTGTGAGAAAGTCAGGGTTTACTGACTGTGACAGTCACACCGCATTATGCCCATGCAGCCAATATGGCAAGCTGCTTTAACACAAAACAAACTAATATTTAAGCTACTGGCTATTTATTTTTAATTACTATAAGTTAACTTTATGTTCTGTTTTAGTTCGGATTTTTAAATTGTTTTTATCTGTTTAATCTGTCTCCTATTCAGATACTACTACTTATTCATACTTGTTACTATTTCATTAGTGACAAGAACTTATTCTAGTTTTTAGTAAAAAAAAAATTGCCATTGAAATCTATGGGTACTATAAGTACTAGTACGTTTTTAGTTACTAGTAACTATACCAGTAATTAGAAGTATTTATTCCAATTTTGTGTTACTAGTATTTTACTTTTTAGTGCTATTTAAAAGTACTAGCAACTGTCTCAGTTATGTTATGTTTTCTTACTACTAGGGGTACTAGTATTCTATGTTACTAGCATGTTACTTTTTTACTAGTAACTATCCCAATAGTTATGAATGTCTACTAGCGTTGGGCGATGTCTACCAAATTGGCATCGGACGATGTCTACAGAGAGTAAGGAGAGATGACTCATAGGACAATGGCGAATGATTTGCAGATACTGAGCACCACTGACAAATATCCAATCTTGTAAAATGTGTGGTAGCGCAGTAGCCTA